GTGTGTGTGTGTGTGTGTGTGTGTGTGTGTGTGTGTGTTGCTCAGTCTGGTGGGTTGACCCAGAGAAAAGAATGACTTAAATGGGACACTCAGAGATTAATAAATAATTAATCTACTTAAAGCTTTGATCATTTTATTCGTGCACCACTTGTCTCATTACTCTCTGTGTTTCTGTCTCTCCTCAGGACACTGTGTCGGTCCACCGGCCCGGCTTCTATGCAGATAGGTTCTTCAAGTTCATGAGCAGCACGGTTTTCAAGAAAAGTTCCTGTGAGTTTAACTTTTCCCTGAGACACTGCCTTACATAGTCAAACAAAGTCATGTGGGAAGAACCACTGAGTCAATGTGAGATGCCAGGCTTTTTGACTCTTTTACTGCCGAGCTTTGACAGGACTATCAGACACAGTAGCTAACTGCCTTATTAGGTGCTGCTTCATGTCATGTGAGAGAACTACATCCATTTGAAGCCTGTGCAGCTTTCTTTTTCATCCCTTTATAAGGATTTTCACACAAGCAAAGAATTCACTGCAGTAGGGCTTCAAGAAAATATGTGATTTCCTGGTTATTCCGTAATGAGCTCCAACTAACGTGCTAGAGAGGGAGTGGTTAGGAAAATGGCTTAATTAGAGAGAAGTAGATTTTTTAATTTGATAGTTTGTTCAAGTTTAACATGTTTAACTTTCTTTTGTCCCTTAGCTCTGAAGTCTTCTCCATCTAAGAAGGGTCGAGTGTCATTGATGGTGCCTAAGTGCGCTGGTCCTGGTGCAGCCTGGTCAGCCAGCCAGCTGCCCTCTGAGAGGGATGAGAACATCTACGACCTGAGAGGAGCTCGCAGCTTCCCAACGCTGGAGGACGAGGGTAAATAACGCAGTCTTGTGAAAACAGTGACATAACCAGGATGACCAAGATGACCAGAAACAGATAGTAGGAAAAGAGGACATGTACAGATCCAGAATTTACCAACTGCAGTCACGATGGGCCATTACTATTAGGAGAGTTTAGCTTTAACTTAGCTTTTGGTCTCTGTACAGGTCTGAGTGAAATATTCAGAAAACGTGCAGCTTCTGTCCACATAACATGAAAATGTTTAACAGTCTTCTTTGATAAACAGTAGCACTGATGATCTTTCCATGCTATAGTCAACAACGGACTTGTAGCTTTACCATGGGAATTAAAATTGTATACAAGCATTACAACACCTTAGAAATAAATCTTATGCAAAGCTATAAAATTACTGGGCTCCAGCTATCTCATCATCTATCCATGCAGCCATCCATTATCTATACCGCTAATACTTTGAGAGTCAGTGCGGAGTCTGGAGCCAATCCCAGCAGAATAATTTGTAAAATCTCTGTTTCCTCCAGGTCGACCAGATCTTCTTCCATGCACTCCTCCATCATTTGAAGAAGCCACCACAGCATCAATCGCCACCACTCTGTCCTCGTCCACCTCTTTGTCCATCCCTGAGAGATCCCCATCTGACACAGCAGAGCACCCCCGCTACAGGTACACACACACACACACACACACTTAAATCTGAGCCTTTACTCCCAAAGTGCAGTTGATATTCTATTTATAATTTATTTATTTTTATTATTAAATCCTGAAAGTCTGATCTTAATCATAAAAAACTCACATTTTACATCAATAGTTACCTGTGAAGGTTTTAAGAGTTTCTCCTCATATGCCAAATGTCGGCGTGAATACTGCAGTTCTCATATGCAGCTTGTACTGACACTGTGCTCTCTGTCTCCAGGCGACACACCCAGTCTCTCAGCCATGATGGGAGGTGAGTCAGAACTATGAAAGCTACTTTCACTTCATAAACCATTTCTAACAGGATAAACTCAGCTGTTAAAATGTGTTGAGGTTTGCTAGCTTTATGTTTTCACAGCATTACATGTTGCTGGGTGTGGTGGGAGGTTAGAGGAGAAATGCGAGGACAGACTGTGGGACAGTGTATTTATGAGTAGAGCCATTTTTCCTGTTGCTAGGATGTGGCTGTGTTTTATATCTTCTGTGTGTGTTTTTATAAATGTGTTTGTTTGTGTTCAGAACCCAGGAGGAGCTGCGTGTGCGTGAGGAGGATCAGCAGACCATCACAGTGGAGGTGGAGTTGAAGAGACACGACAGTGAACCCACCATCTCTCTTCCACAGCTTTCACCTCAACCCAGGTACATAAAACAATGGATGGCACTCAGTAGAGCATATACATAGACCAAGGCCGAAAAGTCCCCTTTAAAGTCAATCAAGCTACCTCAAATTGCACACACTTATCAAAATCACCATCATCATATGTTAAAAAGCTCCCTATATCTACACGTGAGGGCCTTTCAGCGGTTTTAATAAGAGAGCCTTGATTGTTTGGGCTCTTCAAGAATATGAAGAGGTGAAGAGGTGAAGTTTTTGTTTCTGCATTTGTATTTGTTTCACAAGAAAAGGAATCCCTAATCTGTAGCTCACCCTCAAACACTGCAACTTTCTATAATCTTGAATGTCTGTAGATACTAACAGTGGGCCTCATTCACCAATATCTTATATCGATAAACTGTTTTTATGAGAAAATATTCTCTTCTCCAACATGTTCATGTGTTTTAAAAGTGTCATCTTTTGCAGTATAGACCAAATATTCTGTGTCTGTATTTTCTTAAATACATTTTTTTATGGTAATTTGAATCTTATTATACAGCTGTAGAATTAAAAGTAAAAAAATGCCATTACTGATTATTTTACAGGAGCATTTCAGCTGTCAATTGTGCTTAAAACTGCTCTTCAGTGTGCTTAGATTTTGTTCTTATACAAGAACAAATCCCAGATAAGGAAACATCGGTAAATGTCAAAATCTTTGTAAAAACTGTGTAAATGGGTTTTAAGAAGAGATTTCTCCTGACACACACAGCTCTCTATAATTTTTACCATAAACAATGAGAAGAAGAACTCTGTCAGCTCTGTCATATGCTCCTTGCAGACATGTGACCCTGATAGAGAATAGATAAGCTGCAGAGCTGCAGTGAGCCCTGCATGACCCAAATCATCAATATGACTCAGTTTGATGTGACTATATAAATAACCTCCTGGCAACCTCACCTGCATCACACACACACACACACAAACACAAACACAAACACACACACACACACACACACACACACACACACAAATAAAGTTTTTAGCACAGAGGTGAACACTGAAAGCAGCTTGACCCATTTGCTTATTGGGCTCAGGGTCTACTGTTCTAGACAGATAAATGCTGCAGGCATCTACTGTACAACAATTAACCTGAGAGTGCGCACATGCATTTTGATATGTATTGCGTGTGTGTGTGTGTGCGCGACCGTTAATTTTTTTAATGGGGTGACACTGCGAGGCAGACAAGGGGCTTAAGGAGCCCTGACATGGGGGAACCAGCCATTAGAAGTAGGCCAGCGGGACAGGAAGGCTGGAGGCCTGAGGCTGCTCAGGATGACCTGACACATTTTAACCTTGTTTTTAATTGATTTGAGTTTATTTTTTGGGGATTTTAGCTTCACGTAACTATGACAATGCATCGAGAAAAAAAAAAGCTGGAGACATAACTCCAAAAAGCTGGCAACTTAATTAAAAAATACATTATGAGTAAGCTACATGAAATTTTAACAGGAGATGTAAGCCCCATGGCCTGCACATTGCATAAACTGGCTGTGGGGCTTACATATATGATGGGGTTATGAGGATGAAGGGTGTGGTTGCTGAGTGAAACCAACTGAATAAGTGGGTCTGATGCTGGCTAGACACGTGGCCTGGGGGGTCTGGGATCTGTGAGAGCAGCTAAAACAGACAATCAAATTAAGCGGCCTCAACTCACCTGAAGCTGTGGAACTGTTCGGATGCAAGAGATAAGAGGCAGATCCAGCTGTGGAGTCTGATTTACTGCGATTTACAAATGTATATGTATTGTTTTATGAATATATATTGAACAGAAATGACAGATGGTGTGAAAGAGACTTTCTGCATGGCAACTATCATCCCGCCCCCCCCTCAATTATTCAGCCAATCAGCTCCTTCTCTAAAATGCGAACTCAGCTTTTTTGCCTCAGTGGCCAGCAGACAGGCTTTTCCTTTGGTGGAGGTATGATAAACACAGAAGCTGAGAAATTAATGTGTCTGTCCCTAAATCCTCCCCAACGGTTAGTGATGTGACCAGGCCGCACCAATGAAGGAGTGTGGCAGCACACGGCCTACTGGCAAATCTTTGAGATTAAGCCACTCAACAACACACTCACACACTCACACAGCTGTTGAATTTTAGTCAGAGCCACTTTACTCTAATAGCTTGGACATGTTTCTGTGGCCTGCTGCAGGAAAATGGCTTTCGGAAAGTGACCCAATTAATTAAAATGAGACCTACAGAACTTGCCCAAGAATCATCAGTGTGTGATGTGTGAGTTTTGTCTGAGTGTCAGCCCACAGTGACTTTAAACAACCACACATCTGTTTATTCCACAGTGAGGTTCAGGAAGTAGCCGGCGCCGAGGCTCCTGATGCAGTTGAGCCTTCCACCTGTTCGTCGGTACCTGAATCTGCCCCATCGTCTGCCCCAGCTTCTTCCTCCTCTCCTGGGGCAGCCGGCGCATCCAGTCCCAAGTTGGTGGAAGCGGATCGGGCGAGTCAGGTGTCAGGCTCAGGCTGCACCAGCCAGGCTTCAGTCGACGATGACGATGATGTGCCAATCACAGATATCTACTTTGTAAGTAAAACCACTTCACACATGCACATTTATGTAATCACATGCTTTTAGAAACTGTTTCTGTAAAGATGAAATTAAACTCGACTCAGACAAGCATTATTATTTAGCCATCAAATAATTCCAGAATCAAGGTCAGTGTATTAATGGTTGTGCAGTCACTGGACTGAGCCATATGATGCTCTCCTACAGAGGCGTTGATACAAGGACCACAAAAGCAAGTGGAGAATCAAGCTGGTATGGGAAGTTGTTGCTGTGTGCGTGTGTGTGGTGCATTCCCTTAAACGACATGTTTGACAATTTGAGAAATATGCTGAAAATAGGCTTCTTGTTGAGAGTCCTTTCTTTATGACAAGCTAAGCTACACTCCAGATGTCTGAACTACTCACCCTCATCTCTAATGCTGATAGGGTTTTATTCGCGATCTCGTTCTTTCAGTCACTACCCAGAGTTCGTGACCATAGGTCAGGCTCAGAATGTAGATTGACTTTGCCTTGCAGCTAAGCTGGAGGTGAGCTGGAGGAGCTCCAGGGCACCCGGAGGGAGCTCAGAGACAAGCCTCTGCTTCATCACATCAAAAGAGGCCAGTTGAGAGGATCCAGACATCTAATCAGGCTCCTGAGTGCCTTCCATTAGAGGTTTAAGGGGTAGACCCACTGGAAAGGAGAACCAGTGGTAGACCTCAAACTCACTTGAGGGATTTTATCTGGCCTGGGAAAACCTCACATACGATAAAAATCTCATATAAGAAAATCGATGCAGCTTCATATTTACTCTCAGCAATAAAATAAATAAGCATATTCCCTCAAATGTCAAACTATTCCTTTAAGCACAGCGTTTTGCAGTGTGCACTCTCGTTTGGAGTGTTTTGAGTGATAATAGCATGTGCACCATCACTTTGTCTGTTCCTGTCTTGTATAATCTTCTACAGAGCCACACACACACTTTTACTAAATAACAACTAAAGCTTTTGCAGTTTGCGTCTGTTCAGTCTACAGCGGCTAACTGGCTACCACCAGACAGTGTTGGGTTGGCAGGTGTCAATGTGCACGACTATAAATTAATGTATGAGTGTCAGTTGCTGCACGGAGAGCAGAGCCGCTGATCACAGATACAGATAGAAATGTTCTCACCTGGCTATACTCCCACTTGGTGTCCACTATCAGGAATCAATCACCGCCTAATGTGGCATGAGAAAAGGCCAACAGATTAGTCAATGAGCTCCCTCAGTTATTTAACAGCCCTCTCAGCTGACCGCCGCTGGCCGATGCCCAAATCATGCTTCTCTGTACACAGGAGCAGGGGTGGGGTCTGTAGTGCTGCATGACGCCAAGTAACACTGCACGTCCTGATATGTAACTACACACACGCCGCAGGCTGTGTGTTCACAAGTGGCCTCGAGGGAATAACCAAGAATGCCGATAAGTGTGAAAGCTGTACATGCCGCGAATATGGGTGGTACTTTTTCTACTTCACTCCTCAGTTTGGTCATTTAGCAGCTCCGTCAGCCAACTCTTCATTTGATCATCCTGTCATCGTCATCACTTCTCCTCCACGACATCCCACGGAAATCAAGTTTCTGCATCATTGCTCAACTGAACCTGCTTTTTCCATTGATAAATGCTTTAAGGTGTTGATTCACAACACTCACAGAGGAGAGCAAGAAACAAAAAAGGTATTACTGCATTTGTATTAGTGAAATAGTTTTACTCGCTTCAGGAGCTTCAGCTACCAGATCTAATCTTTTTTATTACCTCAGCCAAGGAGGACAACAGTGTGTTTTTATCACTGTTTGTTTGTCTGTTTCTTAGTTAGCAGCATTACACAAAAACTACTTAACTGATTTCCATGAAATTTGCTGGTTGAAGGGTGAAGCTATGGCAAAGGGAAGCTAAATGGATGTATCTAAGAACTTTTTTTCTTCTTCATTTTCTATGACTTGGTGACTGGCGTTAGTATGCGCTCTCTCTAATCACCCCTCTGGTTGTGAATTCTATAGGAGGGAAAATTATTTCTCAGACAGAAATCCTTTGCTTACTTCATTGCTGCTTATGCACAAGAGTTTTTTAAAGTTGCAATGAAAAGCAAACACAAAAAGTAAGTTGTGCTGGGATTTCAAAAACTCATTAGAATCCAAGTTCAATTTAAATGGAATGAGACATCTTACTTTTATCTTTCTGTTAACTTGATCTACTTTCCTTTATTGTGTATTTGGTTTTGGTTTGTTTATGTTTATGCTACAAACAACATGCACAACACAGCATGCTAGATACATAATCGAAGTGAATCAGGTTTCATTTCTTTGAGCCCGATACTGGCCTCTGTTACGTGTATCAAATACCAGCTGGGGTTAAGAACCATATTTACATAAGGTATGTATGGAGAAATGGGAATACGTTTGAATTTTAATAAGAGACGGCTCGTGTCTGAATTATTCAGCCACTATCAGCACTCTCCACATTCACTTTTCAAGATTCTCTCCATCACGTCTGTTTTCTTACACATTTTATTGTCCTTTTTTTGTCTTTGTCTACTCTCCATCATTTTCACCTCCATCCTTCTCTCCTCTGTTCTCTCATTTCACCCCAAACTTCCCAAAATAATTCTCACCTCCCTCTGTTTCATCTAGTCGTAAATATTTCCTCTCCACACCTCTCTCTCTTTCTCTAACCTCAACTCTCTTCTCCTCTGCCTCTCTGTGGTTGTCATCATGCGTCATAATGACAGCGGTGCGATGGCAGCATGTTGTGTGGTAGGGGGGAGATGAAAACAGATTGGCTGCCATACTTGTGAATCTATCTGTCGCCACTCACATTCATCCAGAGTATCTAGGTTACACTGCTGGGTTACACTCATCCAGAACTGTCTTTTCCATTTTCACCTCAGCCTGTTTCCTTTTGTGTTATTTTCACCTTTCCTCACTCCTCTGTCCTTCATTTCTGTTCGTCATGTCTCTTTTTGTTTCTGTCATATACCACGTCCCCCTGTTGTTGTCAGTTTCCTGATGGGAGGACCTGGGTGGTCTCTCCTGTGCGACAGAGGAGGAAATGCCAGTCCAGAAAGCCAGTAAGGTTGGTTGTTGTGGTGTGAGGGTAGAATAGTCCTGTGTACTTGTTTGTTATATGAAACATCAGATGACAGTGTTGAGAAAATACAAGGTTTCCCTGGATGTATCGCAGGAGGCTCATACCTGGTGTGATTTATCCACTGCTGGGGTTTTTGTGATTGTGTTGAAACTAAAAACCAACGCCTACACTCCCCATAGTGAAGACAAAGAAGTGTGGGAGGTTTGTAAAACAAAAGTCTGGCAGCATCTAACTCAGTGTCTGTATTTACTCTTGTATTGATCTTCCTTTAAATTTGTTTCCTCATTCACTGACACTGGCTTCATCCCTCGTAGGACCATATGTGTGTGTATGCTTGTGGTTTCCGATATATATCTTCTTTTTAATTGCAATGATTCCAAAGATGTGTCAAACTTTTTCAGATAAATAAATGTAATTGATATTTTACAGTTCAATTAATTATAAATAGCTATAAATGTAAAGGAAACCCCCAAAACCAACCAAATATATATAAAGCTGGAATTAAGACACTAAAGATGAATGCGAAAATTTTCATATTGAAATTTTAAGCTGGACTCATTCGTATGTGTTGCATTAACAGGTGTCAATGGGCATGCTGCATGCTAAGTGCTGACACGATCGTCATAACACACGCAGTTTCATGCTCAGGATACACGTCATAGCTGGCTTTCATGCTAACATGCGATGCTAGCCATCAATAAAATGCTAAAGAGACGTAAACAGGAAACAAAATCCACAACCAGATGAAAACAGACCAGGTTCTCCAGCTTCCTTTGCTTTCAAATTGACATGATTTGATTGAACGCATGATGTCAGAGCAGCATTTCGGTTGATGCAACCAACGCATGTGTGAGTCCAACGTTATCGGCCAAACGGTTAATCGGTCGTGCTCTTTCTCTCTCTCTCTGTGTGTGTGTGTGTGTGTGTGTGTTTCCATCACCAACATACCTTGATACCGTGATAATAAACAGACTACAGCTTTCATGGACTCTATAGAAAGAGTGCTTCTGTTTGTTGGAAAAGAAAAGAAAACATCTGCTTGTGTTTTGCTCAGACTGAGGATGCTTTCTGTGTCTACTGTCCTGGCATCCTGGCTTTCTTCCCCTTCCAACCTCTTATTTCCTGCTCCTCATCCACCCCGTTTGGCTGACGCAGCGTCTCATCCCTCGCTCTCTACCCCTCGCTTCGCTTCCCAGGAGCTAAATGGGGCAAAACAACCACCAAGACACATGCTTCTAACAGACCCATCATATTTACCAGTACCGCCAGTTATTTTTGATATGTACATCTATGTTCAAGTCTGCTAACCACTGAAAGGATTAACACATCCTTTGAACATTTGCTCATATATGTTAGTTTCACACTTTCCGATGTGTCTCAGCAACATTTCCTCCTTTATGCATCCCTAATTTTCATTTCCTGTCTTGTCCTCTCTTCTCCTGTGATCTCCCGTGTCTTTCTCTCCTGCCTGCCCCTGCTGCTTGTCTCTGTACCTCTGGCTTTCCTCTGTTCCTCTGGCTCCCTCTACTGTGGTGGGTGTGTAAAAACAGCCTCCAGAGGACAGGACCTGGGTGTACTCTCCGCTACACTATGGCTCAGAGTCTAAGGCCCTGCCAGATGGGGATTGGGAAAGAGAGACAGTAAGTGAGAAGCATCAGACTAATATAACCAGTACAGGGAAAATCCCTTAGACGAGGAGTATGATCAGTGGTCGACCATGTTGTGTTTGGCAGCGATTGTTCATCCAAAGATGGAGAGGATGAGTTGTAACTGAGTAAGAAGCTTCTGCAGCAAATGTACAAAGTCTATTACGATTCTAAGAGTAGGTTTGTTGTGTGTTCAGAAACCCTCCACCACATGACAGCATTCATCTCTCATTGATATGTGGCTGGAAATGTTCACTGGTCGCCTGCGTGACCATTTAGTCCACAGCCAGTCATCCTGTTTCCCTCCGACAACAGGCTGCTGAGAGTTTACTACACCATGATACCGCAACAGCCTGTGTGACGCCATTACACTCATGCATCAACCCACACCCACAGCTCACACTGACTGCTCAATGTTCACAGTTAGACTGCGGACATTAAACCTACAGAGGAGTCACACTTTACTGAACATGTTCATCACACATTTCGCCTCTCAGTGTAAATTACATTATTTCTTAATTCATAATATATTGATACATTTTTTCTTATTTAAAGAAACAGAAAATACTGACAAATACACATACATAAAACAATCCCGAAACAAGGTCATTTGCCTCATGTTTTAAGCCTTAAAGTCCACAGGAAGTGGCTAAGCTAGCGGACGTAGGTGGTGTTTTGTCCGAGGGTCCGTGAATTTGACCTCATAGGAAGATATCAGCGGACTTTTAGGCTAAAAACACGATGTTAATTACCTTGTTTTGAGTCGAATATGAAAGTCGAGTCTTGCGGACACTTGGATGACAGCACACGAGCAGTATGGAGGCATGTTATTTTACTTCTGTTGTTTTATTACGTCTGAAGAAGTGGTCACCATTTACATCAATTGTATTGGACTCTACTGCAACGCCGTTTACCCCTGAAACTCCCAAAGTGTTTTGTAGACTCATACACTTCTCCCACCCCTCCATCAGCATAGTAGGTCGTGTAATTAAGGAGTATTTAAGGAGGAAATAATGGGTCATTAAGCAGTTATTAAGGAGTCATTCAGTAGTTATCAAGGAGTAATTAAAGAGTTTACTATTGTTTTTGCTGACTCATATCCAGTCTTCTTCTCACACTAGAAACGTGACTCTAGGTTTTTAGTTTCACATGTGACAAAAGATTTTTTTATTTTTGTTATTTTCCAGTCTAAAATTATTTCTAACCTAGATTTTGTCAATCCCAGTAAGATTAAATCCATGATTTACTTAAATGTGGATTGGAATAACGTTGAAAAAAATATTATAAATTAAAAAAAATATAGTATTTAAATTATGCTGGCTCAGGACATCATTATTTTACAGCATAATTTAATCTAAAATTATCCACAAAATCTATTTAAGATGTTGGGGTTAATGTGAACAGACTCAATTGTCTGTCAGACTTCTTCACTTTTCCTGTTTTCAGGTTCACATGGGTGTTTGTATGTTTATGAGGTTTCTTATTTTCTTACCTTTCTTCCTGTTTCTTCTTTTATAAATGCACTTTGATTAGTAGGCTTAGTATTTTTACCAGTTAATGCATGAGAAGATTTACACTGTACCCACAAAAACTGTGAATAAAGATGGACGAGGCATCTGTGCCTCCCAGACATGAAGCGCTCCCAGATGCGGGCGCCACTATCTCGTGCTTTTGACGTCAGTCGTGACGTTTCTTATAGCGTCAAATAACAAATTAAACCATGTTACTGGAAAAATGACTTAAACAAACAGCAGTGCGATAAGAACTGAAACCATCTTTGAGAAATTGTATTTGATGTGTACTTTAATTTTTACTTTTATCCATGTCCCATACACTAATATGGATAAGGCAGGGTTAATGACCTATACTGTAGTCAGCCACCGGGTGGCATTCAAGATGCTTTGGCTTCCCTTTTTGGGAGCTGTCATGTCGTCCATCTTTATGAATAGTCTATGTTTACTCTCAGCAATGTGTGTGTGTGATCTGTACACTCATGCGTTCACTCTGTGTCTCCATCAGTAAACCCTGTTCTCTGGCAGAGAGGAGTGGACGTCTTGGTGGAGGGGACTCTTTGGTCTGAAGTCCAGACCTCAGCGGTAGCAGCAGGATCTTTGTCCCACCCAGGATTTTTAACATGCATACAGAACACGAACACACCAAGAGAAAACAGTGACTGAATACCAGAGGGGGAGAAGATCCTGACAGCAATGAAACCCCTGCCTTTCACCCTTAACAAATGAAAATGATATCACTTTAATGAATATGTGTTTGTGCGACATAGTGCATATAAGGCTGTAGTCTTATATGTTTGATATACATGGAAGACAGTTGTACTGTGTGTTATGTTCAACACTAGCACAGCCCTCCAACAGCTTCTAAACAGGCTTCTCCACTCACTCCAAAGAGCAGCACACTGAGTTGTGATGTGAGAAGAGCTCATGTTGTTGCCTTTGATTTTCATTATTTAAACTTTGTTTCTGAGAGATCATGTTTTTTTACATAAATGAAACCAGATAAATACAACACAACATGAAAAATCCACATGGCAAAGAGCTGTGACAACTTCAAATTACTTGTTGTTGCATTCCCAACCCTGTCCAGACCTGGTATCAAGAGTTTACAGATGTGTCTGTGTATATATGTCTGTGTCTGTCCGAGTGTGAGCGAGAGCGAGCAGCATCAGGATCGGCTAAATGACAAAAAAATAGAAATCATTATTTTGTGGTCAGTGCTGATATTGTGGCCGCAAACAAATCAGCATATGGGACCTGCGAAGTGTAAAAATATGATTCATTGTGAAACTGTTGCGGATGTCAGCTGAGTTAGAGGTCCTCCAGGACGGATTTGAGTTCTCACAGAGAAAAGAATGTGGTCTGAGTGGTTGGATCTCAAGATGCACTGAGGACACATTTGGGTGCATCCACACATGGATTTAGCGCTTGACATTTGTGATGAAATCACTTGGGACAGAGGTTGATACCAGGTCTAACCAGGGTCATAGTTTCTGAATGAATCCAGAATCTGAAAATTCCTAATTTTATAATGGGGCTCTGAGATCTGTTTCATTGACCCCATGATCATTAGCTCTCCGCTGCCGTTAGCGGTGCATGTACGATTTCTATTAGCTCAGTGATAAGATGTGAAGTTTCCAAAATGTACACATCTAACATCTTATTTTAACATTTGCTGGTTGTATCATTAATCTAACATTTACTAAGACAGTTGTTTAATCCAGGACATCTAAGCAGTAGAAGTGCTCATCATTATTGTCAGTGAAGACAATGTGGGGCTAAGACTTCCTGTGGCGGCTCCTACCACCTCACAACTCCACTAACGCCCACATGTACGAGACGTTTGACCGTTCAGGAGGAGCCATGGTGCTGCAGATTTCACGCTGTGGTGAGGAGAGAGTGGTCAAACCTGCAGTGTTGGAGGTCTGTGCCTGTGATCATAGAACCGGAGTTAGAATGATACCATGGTTAGACCAATCAAAAGAGACCATCTAGACGTAGTACGTCATCCTCACATTTCCAGTAGTGAAAATAAGCAGCTTAGTTAATAGAAGAGATATTTGAAACACTTGATTTCCTTTAGTGACTATACGTGATAAGACGTTTTTTAATTCATAATCATTTATAAATGATATCAAGTTTTTGCAACATTTTTTATTTCTGATAATTCAGCTGTTATTACTATTGTGAAGTTTTATTTGTTTATCTGTCCGTGTTTTATTATTTTCTTTTAATCTAAACTGTTACTTTTTACTTTATAACACTTTTTAGAAATGTTTTTTTGAATTTGCATCCAAAGAAGTTACCTTTCAGTTTTTACAATCTGTTCACTGCAGCTTTTCACAAGTAGTTTGTTTTAACATCACGTTTTGTTGTGTGAATTCAGTGTTAATACTTTCTTCACTGCATCTCTTGTGGAAACAGCTGAGGCTTATGACTATTTCCTTCATAAGATGGAGTTCACTACAACGCTGAGGCAGCAGACTTTTCAGTCATCACAGTGATGATCACATCATTACAGTGTCTTCCAGTGTTGCCCTATATTTGGATCAGATGCACACAAAAAAATACGTCTTCATTTAAACTCAAAAATGACTGAGGGCAAAGCCAACGTTTGTGAGAGTAGAGTTTCACTCTTCTTTTGTAGATGGAAGAATTATCAGTAGATGAGTGGCATTTGCCGTATCCGATCGCGTCACCTCCTCACAACGACAAAGCCACTGACTGGGCCATTTCTGATGTTTGTAGACATAGAGCAGCAGTTGTCGTATTTGCCGTCAATATCGTAGCTGTTATCTGTATATTCCAACAAACGTGGTGCGTTGCAGTGATGATATGTTGAGACGCAGCGGTTTGTTAAAAAAAAAAGGAAAAAAAAGGGTGAATGTTGTTTGCACTTCTTTAGAGGACCTGAAAATGAACTAGTGATAGAGGCCAAATAAACATTACATCACAATATCACACTCTTTCAGTTGTTCGATAGAGTCTCTGCTCACAAAGCCTGGTGTTCAGACAGCGTTTATTTTATTAACTGTGTGTGTGATGGTGAATCACAGTCATTGTAGGGTTGGTGTTTACTGTAGTCTCTCTGTGGCTGACGTCTCTCAACTACGTTAAACTGATTTATTTATTGTAACTTCAGAAGGTGTGTTTTTCCGTTCCTCTGTGTGTTTGTGTGTAAAGGAGGACACATCCATGTCAGACATTGTAAAAAGAGAAATCAGCTCATTCTCATGATGTGCAGTAGCCAGTTGTGATCACTTTGCTGTTGTTCAACAGATGGAAACCATAGCAGCAATATTTTGTACAGTTTTGCTTTTCAGTTCATTTTGATTGCCTTATTGAGAGATCTTACTAGTAGGCCTATCGTTTGTATTTTTTTTTTTTCACGTGCTGTTGTATTTATTTGCTTTCTCATAGTTGTGCTCCTGAGAATGTGTACATAAAATTATAAATACATATATAAAGATATACAAATATATTTTCCATTTGAATCGGAGAATATTATTTTTATTTGGTTTTATTTTTGCTGCTGGGCAAGAGACGATTGCAATCTACATGATTTACTGTAACATATCTCAGTGTGTTTATCGAGACGCAGCTGCTGTATATTTATGGTATATAAACCACAGCTGTTTCTTTTTAAGATATCCAAACATGGAAACGATTTGTGGGTTTTTCTGTACATGCAAATCAATAGGGATTCTTCCAACTGTTCAGCTGTGTTGTGTACGTGTTTTCAATTCGCGGTGTGCCCTCATCCAATAGGGAGATACCATTGCAGAGACATAGCATGATTTCAAAATGAATATGCATATCAGAAGTGTGTATTTATGTATATCTGTGTATATTCATCTATTTATACCTGAGGATAAATAGATGGCTGTATGTGTGTGTGTTTGGACTCATTCAGAATGAATACAAAATAAAGCAGTTCTATGAATTGTTGTCCATGGAGATAATGACATGTTATATTTTTATCTTTCTCTTGTTGAAACCGGAAACAAGTCACTTCTACCAGTGACCTCAAATTTGGTAAATAGTGTTTCATCATTTCAACTTCACTTAAGAGGTTTATCAGTATCGACTGCATTAACTTCTACCACTGGGTTCACAAAAAAACACTAATTGGGTAATATAAGATCAATTACTCATAATACAATGTTTGATCATCATTACAGATCTAAATCACTTTTTCCTTCCAAGTATTGTGGAATATGATGAACAGATTTTTAAAATTTGAATTTGCTTTAGTGTAAATCTTAATAGTCCGGTCGATGTGTGTGTGTGTGTGTGCGCGCGCGCGCGCGCGCGCGTACGTACTTCCGTGTGCGTGGGTGGTGTGGCTGTAAAAGAGAGAGTGAATTTGCTGATGCAAAACACAGAGGGGTTAAAGGTCGGACCACATGAAGTTATTTCTGTTGAGCACAGATAAAAGACCATTAAATCTCCATTCCTAAGAGATGAGAGTAAACTCAACATGACAGAAATCCAAAATAAATATCTTCATGAGGTTGGATCGTCATGTAAAATGTATACAACAGCAACAGAAAGAGCAAGAACACATGGCTGTAGCCTCTTATATTGTTTGTTTTCACCATAGACTGTATATAAAATGTATTTATATTTTTTTATTTCACATGGGCCTTGAGACTTCTGTGTTTGGATGTGGCTCATCTGATTTCCTAAATAACACAGACATGGTGTATCCACAGTACAACAGGGTGAGCTGTGTATTCCAAAGTGTGGTGGGTCACAGTGAACAAACTCATCCAGCATGAACACATGGGGCGTTACAGTCTGGAGAACAAAGGGTGCACTGCCTCACAGCGTCATCTCCCGCGCATGGTGATTGGTTCGGCTCTTTTCAAGGAGAGCACGTGATTGGTTAGTCTACCTGTCAGTCAATAGGATTACTTCTCCTATTGGTGCGAGTGGACGTTGCTGACCTCACGTGCTCGTGCCCTGTGTCTGAGGGCGGTGCCTGATAGTAGCCGGTGCGGAGGGTTGTTGTTGTTTAGAAAGTATTTGAAAAGTCCATAAAACCGTGTCTTGAGATGGGAACTAGAGATGATGAGTACGACTACTTGTTCAAAGGTGAGTTCTTCTGTAAACGTGGACGAACGAGCCTCCTCTCTGTGGCTGTCCGATGAGGAAGTCCACCAGCGAACCAGCGCTAATGCTAATGTTAGCTCCGCCAGTGGCAGACTGGTGATCGATAGCGTGATTTCTGCTGACCGTCGAGCTAACTGCAGCCGCTGCTACACGCTGCTCCGCCGTTCACTTGTACGTGACATCGCTGCCACTCATGTTCAGTGGTCTACACTTTAACATCGCAAACCGACCAGCCCACTGCTGCTGGTCTGCGCTAGTGAATCAGCAGGCTAACGTTGAGTTTAGTTAAGTCGCTAGCATGCTAACATGGAAGCTACATGCCTGGCCTCGTTAAAAAACAACCACCTGACACCACAGAACGTTCACCTGAAGAGAAATACAATGGCTGCTCCGTACATGTTGTTTCCCTCAAGAGTTAACTCGTGTAACGCCCCCTGCATGTCTGTGTGGCTGTCGATCGCTAACTTCTCACTTCCTGTCAGTTTATTTTATATACAGTAATGGATATAGTCCCTGTGAGAAGTGGATGTGACACAAATCATAAAGAAAAAACTGAAATTAACTCAAGCTCAAACCACAATGTAAAAATGACTCTTTTTATTCCAAGAAAATTTAATTTATAAAACAATTACTTTATCCAATTTATGAGGTCACCCCTGAGGATTATGGGAAATGAGGTCCATCTCTTCAATACAATATCAACTAGAATGAAAGGAAGACCCAGGACCCTCCTGTGTGTAGATCTTGTTTATAGTCTGCAATGGTCTCATCTTTAATGACTTAAGTTCCTCACAGGCTGGACTGAAGCACTGTTATTTTTTAAATTGGGGATCATACTGTTTAAGCTTTAAAACGACATGAGAACAATTTCTCTGTGACGTGTATTAAAGGAGATGGGATGTGTATTTTGGCTGTAGTTGTACTAATTGGAGACTCTGGAGTGGGGAAGAGTAACCTGCTCTCCCGGTTCACAAGAAATGAGTTCAATCTGGAGAGCAAGAGCACCATCGGGGTGGAGTTTGCCACCCGCAGCATCCAGGTGGACGGCAAGATGATAAAGGCTCAGATCTGGGACACAGCTGGGCAGGAACGCTACAGAGCAATCACCTCAGCGTGAGTTTGTGTTTTTTATATGCGTGTAAACAAGTGTTAACTGTGGGGAAAACCAATAGAGTCGATGTACTTATCTGCTTTTATGCTGTAACCAGGTATTACCGGGGAGCAGTCGGGGCTCTTCTGGTTTACGACATTGCCAAACACCTGACGTATGAGAATGTTGAACGCTGGCTGAAGGAGCTCAGGGACCACGCTGACAACAACATCGTCATCATGCTGGTTGGAAACAAGAGCGACCTCCGCCACCTCAGGGCCGTGCCCACTGATGAGGCCCGAGCCTTCGCAGGTTGGTGTTGCTTCTACACTGCTTTTAGAATAAAGTCATGTGATTAAAGGAGATTTCAGTTATCAAGAAACACTCTTCAGTTACACCAATTACACAAAACACTTATTTAAAGAATTTTCTGTTAACCTCGAATGTTCTTATCCGAGGTGTTCACATTTAGATGACATGTTTTTCTCTTTCTCGTCATCAGAAAAGAACACCGTCTCCTTTATTGAAACCTCAGCCTTGGACTCCACTAATGTAGAAGAAGCCTTCAAAAACATCCTGACAGGTAAGAAAAGTGTTGAAGTGTTGGATATGATGTGCAGCTTGACGTCAATCAAGCTTGTTTAACTCCCTGTTTTTATTTTCATCACAGAAATCTACCGTATTGTATCTCAGAAGCAAATATCGGACAGATCTGGACATGATGATTCTCCAGGCAACAATGTAGTGGACATCAGTGTCCCCCCTACAATGGATGGGCAGAGGGGCAACAAACTCCCCTGCTGTCAAAGCCTGTGATACTTGTATTTTCCTCTTTCTGTCAGTCCCTCCTTTCTTTGCCTCTGCTTTACTCCTTCTGTCATGCTGCTGTCAACATGATCCTCTCATTGGTTTAGATGCATCTGATCCAAGACTCTTGTAGCTGACATTCCTTTTTGCTGGTTTCTTCTTTGATTTTCATTGTTTATTTGTCTTCCTCTGAATTCAGGAGAGCCTGTGTCTCTATAATTGTATGGCCTCATTAAAGCCTTGAAAGGGGGGAAGTGTTTCCTATCATGGGGCTGATCTCAACGCTGTAGTAAACTACAATTCTTTTTAATTAACTCACCTCTATGGTCCTATTGACCCGCTCCTGTTGCAGGAACGGTGAAGGATTACTTGGCATGTTTACCAGTGCTCCAAGTCGTTTCTACTTGCCTCCTTTTCTCAGCCTGAGGATACAGACTCATGACATGATCTGCTAAAGTGGAATCCCAGTTTAATGTCTGGTAGACCTGACTCTGCCAATCACGCAGTACGGATGGAGAAAAGGAGATGAGAAAACTGTGATGCATCAGTACTTTGGAGTATTCATTTAAACTCTTTCTGAAGTTTCTGGTCGCCTCTTTAGTTTTTATTTCCACCTCCCAGCCCTGTGCCCACCGTGGCATTAAGTTAGCGTGAGCCAGGGACCAGACTGGCTGTGACTGTCAAACTTACTATGGGCAAGTGTGTTTTTATTTGTGTTTGCATGTGTGAATGTTAATCTTAGTGCACAAAGATACCAAAGGACACAGATGCAATTGATATCAGTTTTGGATTTTCTCTTGCAAGTGTGTTTGCAGCTGCTAAGATGACAGATAATCTGTATTTGGCAAAAATGTAATGCAATATAGCAAAAGTATTGTTAAAAATTGTGATTGTTTATTGTGAAATGATTAGAACCCAGAAGCTACACTAGGTAGTTCCTTTAAGTGAGTTGGCTCAGGTCCAAATTCTTTCATCAGGATGTCAAAATGAAAATCTTTCTTGCACTTATGTACAAACATTTCAGTGAAACAAATCACCTTATAGTTTTAAATACACTCTTCCTTCCTTACAACTTCCTTATTAGGTGACATTTCCTATAGTTTTTGAGGGAGGCATTGGCTGAAAAGAACAAAATGCACTGTTATATAGATTGAAAACACTTCTCTGAAGCCAGACACAGTTTAGCTGGAAAATGGAACTGAAAATGAGAAATGCAAATTGTTTACATGGTTGGCTGAAATGCCACTCTTCACCCATCTGCTAGAAATGCTGTCATGTGTGATAAATCTGATGCATCATGTCTGTTGTGATATTTCACATTTCTTCAAACAATATATGTAAAATCAGCAAACCTAAGATTGTTTGCACAGAAGATACTGAATCATAAATAAATCTAATTTACATAGCCATATTTGTTTTTGTTTTACAAGCCTTTTTTACAACCATTCCTGTAGAATGAACACCACACAATGTAGATGACTGTAGACAGGCTTATTTTGGGATGCATTACTCACTCTGTACCCAGGGCACAACACTGTGTCTGCTGCTGTTGTTTTAGCAACTCAAGTGTCAACTGGACGTGTGATCTTAGTGTCAGTGTTTGTACACAGTGTGCTGCCTCACTTGACAGTCTGACTTAACTCATCTGCACTTATAATAACCTGCCACCATTACAGCAAACACAACCATGTAACACTTCATTACCTCTATGCACCCAGGACAGGCCTTTTACAATTAGGATAAGATAAGGTAAGATAATTCCTTATTGGTCCCACGGTGGAGAAATATGTTGTGTCGCAGCAGCAAAGGTGACAGTCAAGTGGTTGATTCAAGTATTGATAGTTGGTTTCAAAATAAATACTGTGTAATTGCAGTTCAACACTGCTTAATTTGAACAAACTAGGTGTATTATGTGAATAAATGAGTTGAGTTTATTGCTGCCTGGCTTTACATGATTTTGTTCATTGTAAATAATAGTTCATATTTATTATGCAGATGTAAAACCAGCTCTATAAAATAAATATGTGAAAATAGTGCGTGTTGACTTAGAATAAGTGAGGATACCCTCCTTAAAACATTATTTTTATAATAATCTTTGCCTCTGCTATTATTGTTAGAGTCATGATTATTAACATTAATATTGCACAGACAAATTGCCTCTTATATTATTATTATTAAAATTATGATATTATTCTTAACATGATGATATTATTCTTAACATGGTGATATTGTTATTAACATGATGATATTATTATTATTGTTGACCTGCCTCTCAGTGAGGCAGCCCCTGGTGTGTTTTGGCCCCTCCCTCTGTAAAGCTGTTGTTATTCCCTGTGACGTTTGCAGTGGTGGGTCTGATCCTGGCCGACTGTCAGTGTCTCAGCGTCAGTGTCTGTGTGTCAGTGTCTCACAGTCTGTGTGCATGTGTTCTCTGCAGTAGTCAGACAGCTGGTGATGAGCCTGCTGTGTATTTAAAGCTCGGGGGGAAGCGGAAGTGTGGCCCGCTCCGTGTTATCAACCGAGAGAGCCGCTAGCTGTGTTAGCACGGAGCTGCACAGGGTTTCTAACATCACCCGGCGGACTGCTGTCACGCTCACTAACCACACACAGTGATATGAGACGAGGACACGGTGAGGGGACAGCGGGGCGGTGATGTCTGTCGAGGTGAAGCATCAGTGAGAAGACGACACGGGTGAGTGGAGCTGTGTTTCGGTTCTTACTTCCTCAGTTAGCAGCTCAGTGTGGCTAGTGGCAGCTAGCACACAGCACAGATGTGACAAGTGAACGCGTTTATATCCCGGGTGATGCGACCACATGTGGACAAACTCGAGCTGGTACAGCCTGTGCCATTCACCTGTAAATCTACTGCTCTGTTAGGCTCAGATCATTTCGGTTTTGCAGCATTTCGAGATATTGACGTGATACAACCCTCTGCGCCAGATGATAGTCTGATCCAAAGCTGTAACATCTGGCTGCTGCGCCAACAATAGCTGCTTTTGGTCGCAATGGAAGTGAGAACGTTTCTTTAATCTGTGAGCTGGGTCTATTTTTCCAGACACGTGTCCATCACTATATTCAGATGTTAGTCACATTCTCATGTGTTTGTGGAATTCGGGTCAAGTGTATGGAAATACTGTATACGAGTTGTTGAAGTTGTGTATTTACATTACATGCATCACAAGGTGTGAATACAATGACTTCAGATATGGTTCCCCCCCCTTGTTTTTCTGGGTCAGGGATTGTACCTGTTAATTAAGTGTCTCCATTCAGTGATGTGCAGTCTTAACACTTTAACATCTGACCAGGGACCTGTGTAAGGTCAAGTTCAGGCCTTCAGGCTTAAAGTTCCTATAGATCACTTCACAATATAATTCAACTCAATATTTTTCAGTTTGTTATCAACAGTGAAAGGTCTTAAAAAAGTATTTTAAAATGTTCTTTTCAATATAGAGCTGTGTTTTTTGAGTTATTTCTCAAAAAACTTTATTATTCAAATGTATTTTTAACATCGCCACCGAAAAACTGCAGAGGGGCTCTCCCAAATATTTTTAAAGTATCCCCTAGAGGGCCTACACTGCCTAACTCATTACTATAATGTTTTCTACTTACAATAATCTATGATGTTTGCATTCTATTGGTCTGGTATTCAGTATCTGAAGCATCCAAATGTACATTTAAAGATGTAAAATAAATGACGACAATGATGAAAATACTGAATGCAGTACACTAACTATTAACATAATGTTTTTTAACCATTTGAACCTATTATTTGTCCATTCAGATGAATATTTTACCTGATTATCAAATCATCACAGCAAGGTTATAAAAACAGCTATGGAATGAAAATTCTTCTTTTCATTCTTCATCAGGAGGTTTAACAGACTAAAGGCACAAATCCCATAAATTAGCACCAGAATTTCTGCACCATCTGCCATGTTAAACCTCCTGTTTAAAAACACGCACAACAACAGCAGTGTTAAGTACAAAGGATCATATAAAGACTGGAGTAATGCAGCAACGTGTATTCAGAGAGTCGGGCCTAATGTGAACAACAACAACCCAGTGTTTACTCCTGACCAATACACTGGTTTGTTTATTACCATAAAAGTTAGTGTTCAACATTTCAAAGAAATACAGACTCAGGCTGTTTGTTTTATGTTTTATTATTATTCCTGCTGTGTTTAATATGTCAATACAATACACATTACACTTGGAGGAATATCCATTTGTAATGAATCTGTCACTGTACAGACAACACTATTTTTGCAGACAGTAAGATGAATTAACTACAGGCTGTAGAAAATTCTGTCGTCATTGAAGTTCTCTTATCATTAGTGAGGGGGAAGAGACAGCTGTTTATCAGTCTGCTGCACTCACTGACACACCAACACACTTGCTTTTATAATGGATTAGCAGACGCTTTGGGCCAATTGGCCCGACTCCGACTGGGCAGCTTTCTTTTAAATGACTGTAGATGTTCGGAGTTATTTCCACATGTCAGGTCACTTTCGGTGTATTAAGTCTTAGAGGAATTATGTCATAAAGCAATGTGAAGCAAGAACTGGACTGAATTGACAAAATCATAATATTTTCACACTAGTGTTAATATAATAATATGAATGCTGGTTTTGATTATCATGGCTTTAGTATTTAGCTCAAGCAGAAGAGTCAAGCAGAATACAGTTTCACACAGGAATGGAGCATCGAGGACCAATCATAATATTGTTATGTTATTCTGTTATAGTTTGCTTTTAAGGCAGAATGCAAATATCATCTCACTTTAGCTTCTGTAATATGTGTATTGTTCTGTATTATATTATAATTTATTGCAATTTTATACCGTCACTGTTGTCCTGTAATATTATATTGTTCATTGTATTGTCCAGTTGTGGGGATTTTTGTTTTTAAGTAAAAGTATTTAAGTAGCAATTCCATAGTGTAAAAATATGTATACATGTACTTAAGTACTCATTTTGCATTTTATCTCAAAATATGCTGTAACTGAATTGTAAATATTGATACATCATGTGTAAGGATCAGTTTAATGTTGTTCCTGGTGAAGGCTAATTTTAATTTTTCTAAATGCTGATGGCTCCAATAATGCATAATGATTTATTTGTTGATTATTATATTTATATTGACAACCAATCTATTAAGTAGTTAATAATTAAAGCTCTGAAATAAGTGTATCACAGTCCATTGCTCTGAGGAAATAGCTAGTCAGGCTCATTTATCCCCAAATTCTTCTCGATTGTATAAAATAGTATAAAACAATACTGATTATATGAGAAAGCTGTTGACTCTGTCTGTTTTTCTCTGTTTATAGAAACAAACCTAACCCAAGCTGCAGGAGAGCCGAGTTTGTACGTTCTGCTCCCTCCTTCATCCCTCTCGTCTGACCCTCACCTCCATCTGGAGGGCCAGTATCAGGACAGAGCAACCATGACGACGGGTGGGTGTTGCCACCTTCCTGGCTCTCTGTGTGACTGTGCCAGCGGCACGGGTCTGTGGAAGAGCGTGGAGGAGTCAGGCAGTGACGGGTGCCAGGCTCTGTACGTCACACAGGTCACGGCCATTGATGGACGGATGCTGTCGTCTGTGCTCAAACCCATGGCCTCACAGAGGTAAGACTGTCTGAGGTTGTTTGAAGAAGGGCTTGTAGCTGATGCTGGCATGTTGTCAAAATCTATTGTATCCACAAAACTTTTTTCCAAAAAGTATTTGGAACTAATGAACCGATGTATTTCTAATGTTAATTTCTTTTCCACTGTATTATCATGATGACGTCACTGCCAGCAAAATGAACGTCCTCGTGGTTAAAACATTACTTAGTCAAAGACGAAGAAGACAGTCCTGCGAGCCGCTTCCACTTCTTTGTCTCCTTCATCTATTGTTTATATCCTGTCTCAGGTTCCTGCAATTAGTCCCAAACTAAACAAATAATGTTTTCACGCTGCAAACAAACCAAACCACGGTGCAGTGTGATCCGGACCAAGGCCTCCACTTTTGGTCAGACAAAAGTTGGTTTTAAGTTTTCTAGATTTAATCTAATTTTCAGGATGTAATGTTGTAAACAGTAATGATATTTTAGCACTACACAAAGATATATTTTGTGCTGTATCACACCTCCTGATTGATAAATGAGCTTAATGAGCCTAGACACAAACAGAGTTTTCGTTCTTCTCGCTCAGAGTAAGTAAATATACATTGATTAATTACCTGGTGTGGAGTTGACTCAGTGCTGTGATTGTATTTGCTTGAAAAGCTGTTTCAGATTTAGTTTTTTTTGCCACAGTGATGGTCCCATATGTCGTATCTGCCACGAAGGAGGCAACAGCGAGTGTCTCCTGTCCCCCTGTGACTGCACAGGCACCCTGGGGGCGGTGCACAAGAGCTGCCTGGAGAAGTGGCTGTCATCTTCCAACACCAGCTACTGTGAGCTCTGCCACACAGAGTTCAGCATCGAGCGCCGACCACGGCCTCTCACAGAGGTAACAAAGGTCAATGTCCTTTGCCTTGTCTGCACCAATCTTCCTTATTTCCCTTTTTATTCTCATTGGCTGAGCTGCCGTGTGAAAAGAATTGTGCTTATGTTAAATGTGAAGCAGCTTTTTTTCTACTTCTCATCTTTCTGCTTGCTTGCTTGCTGTTTTATAACAGTACGACTTTTCTGTTCTTGAATGACTGAAGATCTGTTTCTCCTTGTCTTCCTCCCTCTCTTTTTACCCGGATATATTCTCTCTCTATTTTCCTGTCCAATTCTAAATCCCACAGTGGCTGCGGGACCCCGGCCCTCGTAATGAGAAGAGGACGCTGTTCTGTGACATGATATGCTTCCTGTTTATCACACCACTGGCAGCCATTTCAGGCTGGCTGTGTCTGCGGGGCGCTCAGGACCACCTTCAGCTGGGGAGCTGGCTGCAGGCGGTCGGCCTCATCGCCCTCACCATCGCCCTCTTCACCATCTACGTTCTCTGGACCCTGGTAAATGAATTCACAAACATGGCTGTAGTATTACTGTCATACAGCCAGTATTACCCTGAAAAGGCTTTAAAATACATGTCAATAACGAATGTCCTGTTCTTCCTCCTTTTCCTTCCTGGTTGTCTGTGCAGGTGTCGTTCCGCTACCACTGTCAGCTGTACTCTGAGTGGAGAAGAACAAATCAGAGAGTACGGTTGCTCATACCTGAAGCCAAGGAGTCTAACTCTTCCCAGCATTCTTTGCTCTCCAGTAAACTGATGAAGAAGCCTGCCAATGAGAGTATAGTATGAGACTGAGTGGGATTGGTCGATGGAAGAAGTGTCTTTTGTGAGTGTTGGGGCTTATTCTCAGTGCGTCATGCCTGCCAGACTTTTAACGAGCACTCGTGGGCCTTTTATTTGATCTTTTCCCTTTTATTTCCTTATCCCATCAGTCCCTATTTTTTCACATTTCCTTTTTTAATAAAACCTGTCCTTGTGTGGGTGTTGCACTGAGCACACTTAAATAGTCTGTCATTGACAGAGCTGATGCAAAGGCACTGAAGAATGGAACAGTACCAAAGCGAGCAGAGACATTAACAGAGACTTGTTCAGTCTTATGATCCACGATGTGATGGTTACTATAGCTAATAATGAAAGTAAAGTAAGGGATGGACCAAACTCACTTGTATAATGGACGTTCAAATGTTCTGCTTCAGAGAGTAAACTTTTCTATTCGTTGTTGTGCTGCAGCGATGAACATGTGTAACCTTTAGATTCATGTCACATCTGGGCATGCAATACATAGGAGCTATTTCAAGCAGTCATTGAAAAGCTCAGCTCTTTGATTTACTCACGTTTCACAGTACAGATGTTAGTACGCTGTCGGAAATCAGACTTTTTGGGTTTCGCACTTTTTGGCACGTTTCAGTGTTTTCTCTGCATCTGTTTTCATATCTCACCTGAGAACGGATGGCAGCGCAACATTCGCAAAGCCAGAGATTGTGCAATAAAAACACTGTGGACTCCGAGGTCGCCACAGTACATAAAGAGACCTCCGCCAACATGGACAGTCATGCAACTACTGTCTATAATTATTTGGGGATTTTTCTTTTTTTTTTTTTACTGTGTAATTAGTCTTTTTTAAACCAAGAAGAATGAACAGATTTACTATTCCTACTGAAGTAGGGTTTAACAATGTCCTCACAGAGGTTCTTGTATTATCAGCACTTAACAAGTAGGTCTTTATATTTATATAAATTGAGAAAACTCCCATCAATATGGCTTTTAGAGGAGCATTTCCATGAGCATTGTTTGGTGGCTGGTACTGTGTACTCAAACATCAGTATTGATGGCCTGTTGAAGTACTTTGAGCTCTTTGTTTAGATTTTGCTTTGTTTTTTATAAGAATTCATATTTCTATACGTGTGTAGTTTCCATGATCACAACAATCAGGGATATAGATGAAAAAAATCGTACGATTTCGTCACATCAGGTCATGTTTAACCATTGTTTCTGAAGTGGTGATTTTTAGTGCTATTGCCAATCTGACATAAACTTAACCCACCAACCATGACTGTGATCGGTGGACACATTATGCAAGCACCACAAAGGCCAAATCTGAGTAAACTTTGTTTTGTCTTTTCTTTGAAGCAGGCCACTAGATGCTCACATGCTCTTTTAAGTCCATTTGATCAAGGTTTTCACTGCATAGAGAATTGCGAGGCCGCCGCCTCTGTCAAATTTCATGCCGCCTCCACCTCCCGACAAAATTCTAGTACATTGGAAACTGCTGAAAGTCATCACGTTTGTCCGGGGCCAAATTCATCACTAAAAGAATTGCTTAGCTTCTGTATGACAGTCCCGGAACTTGAGGGAATGATCAGACACGTGTGTAAACTCAGACTGGGCAGAAAGGGCTGGATTCGGTTGGCAGTGCTGAATGATACACGTATGGTAGCTTAAATTACTGACGGAGCTGGTGAAAACTGTAAAGAATCACTGTTTTATGGTCCAAATATGTATGAAAAGACCCAAAATGAACATTATCAGCAGACTGGCTCCCTGAGTGTCTGCTCGGGCTTGTTACCCCCTGGTCTGACGGCTCAGTACCACCCCCACCTAATTTTCGGCCAGGAAAAACCCTGTTGATGGATGTTGTCTTCTTGAGGAGGTGTTACATTGTGATGTTACTGACCAGAACAGCTCGTACTGGCTGTGATTGGGACGGCAGAGAGAATTCACTTCTCTCTCTTGTATATAGTTTGGTGCAGCTGTAAGTCAGGTCACTCAGAGTGGCTGATAACAGACCAGTCAGAGAAGATATTCTCTGATTTCTGAGGCAAAAAAAACCTGAAACCAGAGCCTGGTTTCCAGATTTCCACGTCATAATGTGGTCGACTTTGAAAGCATTTATTTCTTCATTCCATGTAATTTGGTTTATGAGGAGAAGGTTGATTAAACACAATGTGAATCATCCACAGGGTGAGAGGGTTAAAGGGGAAAACTCCAATAACATTTGTAAAACAATGTTAAAATGAAAATGATTCAGTCCATGGACCTGATGCAGGCCATAGACACTAACACATGGGCTTTAAGAAAACAACACAGCATCCTTTTAGAGGACATACAGGTGCTAAGCTCAGAGTTCAGTATTACTGTGTATGTCTTACAGGGTTTAGTTTCATTTATAGCTGCACAATTCTGTTGGATGCAATTTAAAACATGCCTTAACACAGGAGGCATTGAGAGCAATGGGGCGAGCTTTAAATCTGTAATGGCTGTTATTGTTACAAGCTAAAGTTTAATTTAATTCAAAATAATCATTTGCTTTTGGATTTCATTTTGTCTTCAGTGCAGTGGCAGTTATAACTTTGTGACTTTGTTTAATTTTTGTTTTGATTAACATACTCTTATCATGCTTTTGCTTAATTTTGTTTTATAAAAGTCCTGTAGTCTGGATTTTATGCACATTTGCGTTGATAATGTCTTTAATTTAATGTATATGTATTTCTTTATTAACAATCAGGCTTGAACAATGTATTGAGTTAAACTGGTATGTGGTGGCATGGCAAAGTCACAGAGATGTTTTTAAAATGTCAATTCAGAGTGAATTTTGGTTCGTGGCTGTCTATAAGCATCCGTAGGTTTTTCCTCCTGCACTGTGATGGCTGTCATACTTCAAACACTTTGTGTTCTGAAATTTCAGTACAAGTTAAGTGGATCTTTGTGGCTGTTGTGCAGCGTCACTGGAGCGCAGTGCGTCACAGTGGTGGTGTTTGATGGGAAATTGACCAGATGTGTTTGTTATGTGACACTACCAGTCACTTGTAGCTGTTATTTCTAGAGCTCCCCTTATTGGGGAGTAAAAAATTTCAAATCATGATATACCAGCTGATTTAAAAAAAATGAGGCAATGATTCCTGAGATGTTGTCAAAACATTTTGACAAAGAAAGGTGACTGAGGCTTGATATTCTACAGTTTGAGTATAAACTTTAATATGAATAACAATAAATTAAAAGAAAACTACCGATACAACCAAATATACGGATCTTAAAGAAAATAAATCTAATTTGTCACATTAACGTTAAACGTGAATACTCATCTTTTCTGCATTGTTTATTCTTCAAAATAAAAGCTTAATACAACAAACAAAGCTGATACTGATATGTTCTTGAAAGGCACATAACGGCGGGTCATCCAACAAATGGGTCTGGCTCTAGTTATTTCCCTGCCCTGGCTTCACCAGACTAACATCACCCTTTGGAACATTGAGCTGATGGTGTGGTGTCCCACATTCTGCCCCAGTTAATCTTTTGTTTGGGTTTTTAATTGATCGAAGGATTATATCCTGCAATACTCCGATGCACCCGGGGCCTTGCCTGCTTTACAAGCTTATGAGTCATTTGATCATCCGTGTTTACTGTTTGTCATAAACAAGGCTTTGCTTCAGGCATTAGGGTCGACTGGGGCACTGATTCACGGCAAAGAGGTGATGATTTAAAATAGCTTAAAAACAAGAAACTGGATTTTAATGTAGATCGATGGTGTTTTCTGTTTTGAAAGTTTCCCTCAAATTATGCAGAACTGTCCCTCCTTCAAATACCTGTCTGTTCATGTCAGAGTTATCAGAGCTCCTCATTTCTCCAAAGAGTTTCATAACACATTAACCATGATGCAATTGTTTCTTTATATAGATTCCACAGCTCAAACCCACAAAGGGATTTTAAATCGTTTATAACTCAAACAAACATGTAGATGTTTCTGTTTATGATATGACATTTTTGTAATATTTTAATTCTACATGTCTTTTTTTGGAGGGTGGAGATGTTAATGTTTGTATCATTTGTTGCAGTTCAGTATTCACACTTGCCAATAATATGCTGTTTATGGTGTGCTGTGGAAAAAAAGAAAGATGTCTTCACTTAACCCTGGTACCTGCAATCAGCCAAGAATTATTTGCAAAGCAAATAAAAATGATGAAAAATGATGGGTGAAAATGAACTTGTGCATTTTGTTTTCTAGTAGTTCTTTGCTCTGTGGTTGTATTGTCATGTGAAGACCTCTGTGTGGCAGAGTGTGGTTTATCTTTTACGCTATAGTGTAGACTGTGATTTTTATGATACGGCTGTTTACAGATCATCGTCTCAGCCCAGTGAGGATGAGACATCATTAGTGTAAGTCTGTTTTTGACCACAGCTCTATGAGGCCATTAATCCTGATAGAAAAACAACTGCTGATATCAAGTTTTGCTAGATCCATGGAGAGTCACAGAATCTCCTCGTACGATCCGCTGCATTTAGCAGACATAAGCAGCTTAGTTTAGAAAAACACTATTTCATGTTGGTCTCTTCGCTCCATGAAGGAAAAACCTTCCAAAAATCCTGGAATGTTTCCAGTGGCTCTGGTGATAAACGAGGATAAGATCAGCCTCTCTACCTCACTAGTTTACCCTCAGATATGGAGGATACACACTGTACCATAACCTTGAGCCGAGTACCCTGATGTAGACTGTGGAATTACTTGCACAGGTCCCATGTTATCAAGACATCTTGTCTTATCTTATTTACTAAAATGCTGAAATCAGCTTGACAGAGGTTCTACTGAATCACAGTAAGGTAACATAGTATAAAATATTCCAAATATTCCCGACTTACAAACTGTCGCAACCATTGTCGGGCAATTTTGGGTTCAGTGTCTTGCTTAAGGACACTGAATGCAGACTAGAGGTGCAGGGGATTTAACCAGCAACCCTCTTGGTGGTGGACAATCCTCTCTATTTCCTGAATCAGAGCTGCCTCCAAAGTGTAATCCAATTCTTATAACTGATGCATTAGCAGGCAAGCAGCGTTTTAATGTTGTCAATGTCAAGCTTATTTCTCCTAATTTATTCTTGTAGTATTGGTGTGTTTAATCTAACACTGCAGCATATTACAAAAACAGATCACATTTTAAATCTTGACCTAAAAAGTAACCACTACTAAACTGAACTACCATACTCATTTCTGAATAAAGTGGAATAAAAATGGAAATTCTGCAAAATAGAGGTGCTCAAAATATTCCAAATACACAAAATTTGTACTCCAGTACTTTTATTGTAAATTTTTTTACAGTTCTTACACTGAAAGTAAAGCTATGACAAATCAAGCCAAGTATTCTTCAATAAATACTTCATGAGGATGTTTTTGGCATGACAACTTAACCAATGTAAGAAGAGAGTAAGAACCACACTGTCAAAAGGCATAATACTGCTTCACCAGGTTGAAGTAACTGCCTATGGTTTATTTACACAGCACCATCTAGTGGTATCCATTGAAATGAGTGTCACAACCTCCCTGTGCATGGCGGTGAGTCGGTAGAGTTCAAACAACCTCAGGAATCTCTAAGACAGTGATGCCCGCCTCTTCCCTGCATCACAGGAACCTTCACATTAATTCCAGGAACAGCTCGACTGACCAAGTGACATAAAGGCTTCTTGTTTTCTTTCATGGCAGAAGAGAAGAGCAATGGGTGAGTTCAAAAGTATGACACAAAACAGAATGAAAGAAAGAAATATACAGTGATATAGGAGTCAGCTGTGAGCAGAGCTCCAGTGATAGAAAGTGCTCAGGTGATGTGATGTCAGCGTGGATGTGGAGTAGAGGATGAGTGCCATTGGATTGTGGGATTGAGGGTCACAGGCTCTGGCAGCACTGGAGTTTGTTGCCCTTCTGCCCGTCAGTGGTCGGTGGGACGCTTATGTCCACCACATTGTTGCCTGGAGACTCATCATGAGCAGATCTGTCCGCTATCTGCTTCTGTGACACAATCCGATAGATTTCTGCAGTGGGAAAAGCAAGGAAAAGATTCATATTATGATGCATTTCATTTGTTTAAACTTGTTAAAACTCATCCCACAAGTGTACATCCCATTAGAAGTAAAATACAGAAGAATGGTTAAACATTAACCTAAGTGTTCTGCTTGTTGAATGTTGAATGAGTTCTTAGATTGAAAGTCAACTCTATGGTAGAGAGACTACATTCTCCTGAGAATTACATTAAGCATAGAAGTACACAAAAAGGGTAACTAATATTACAATGAGATAGAATAACACACCTTCAGCATACCATATTTTCAGGGGTGGAGAGAGCACTACAATGTGTTACTAATGTAAAAGTAATTACTGTGAAGAAATCTCACTTGCATACAATTAAAGTACCTAATTAATATGCAACACTGATCTTTAGGGATCGTTCTAGGTGCATTACATGATTTACTGCACTGACTCTTTGGTTTTTCTACCTGTTAAAATGTTCTTGAAGGCTTCTTCTACATTTGTAGAGTCCAACGCTGACGTCTCAATGAATGACAGAGTGTTCTTTTCTAATGTGGGAAGAGAAGAAATGTTTAGTTTCAACATGTAACCAAGTGACTCCTCTTTCTTTATAACTTCAGGACTTGGTGTGATTTACCTGCGAAGGCTCGGGCCTCATCAGTGGGCACGGCCCTGAGGTGGCGGAGGTCGCTCTTGTTTCCAACCAGCATGATGACGATGTTGTTGTCAGCGTGGTCCCTGAGCTCCTTCAGCCAGCGTTCAACATTCTCATACGTCAGGTGTTTGGCAATGTCGTAAACCAGAAGAGCCCCGACTGCTCCCCGGTAATACCTGGTTACAGCATAAAAACAGAGAAGTATATCAACTCTATTGGTTTTCCCCACAGTAAACACTTGTTTACTCGCATATAAAAAACACAAACTCACGCTGAGGTGATTGCTCTGTAGCGTTCCTGCCCAGCTGTGTCCCAGATCTGAGCCTTTATCGTCTTGCCGTCCACCTGGATGCTGCGGGTGGCAAACTCCACCCCGATGGTGCTCTTGCTCTCCAGGTTGAACTCATTTCTTGTGAACCGGGAGAGCAGGTTACTCTTCCCCACTCCAGAGTCTCCAATTAGTACAACTACAACAACAAAAAGAAAAGAAATTTAAAGGAAAATGTGTCTCACAGAATTCAATAATTACAGCAGTTATTGTGCGATCATGTGGAGCACATTTTACTCAGCCCATATTCACCAGCAAATGCCTCATGTATTACTACTACAGCTGATCCTCCACTTAAGAGTTAACATTAACTGACATCAATGTACCAGATTGAGCTCATTTATAACACTGATACTAACAGTTACACAAAATGTTTCAAACAACTATGATGATATAATGCACAGTGGGTAGACAGGTTGCCTTTCATTAATTGCCTCCTTAGTCAAAGCTCTGACTTGAGTTGCAATCTTCTATCTTCGCAGACTTTGCCCTGAGACGTGCAGGGAGAAGCTGCCAAAAAAACCTCTCTGGGAAATCTGACTCAGCTGCTTTTCAAGGCCTCTTGTTCCTCTGCTATTGTTACAGGTCGCCAGTATCTTCCACTGAGTTACTGCAGCCACGGTAGAGCTGAGCCTCTTTTTCTGCTGGGCTTAAAAACTGCATTTACAAGACAGATGTGACAAAGCTTATGAAAGTTAAAATCCCAGTGGTTGATCATTGGCTGGAGATAAATTAATCTTCTCCCATTAACTGCAGAGCTTAATCTCATACAGGTTGTAAATCAGTGGTAAGAGCTTTTATCTTTTCAGATCTAACCCTTCAGAGCAGGACAACTTAAATCAGGTTCCATCATCTGAGTTTGACAGCAGGTGAGTGTTGGAATATAATAACACAATAACAAGCTGAGCACTAATCAGGAAATGTGCCTGAATAAACTTAGAGAAGTGAGCAACATTTGTCAGGGAAATGAACTCAAGGTGTGACTGGACCATGTGAATAATGACAGTCACAGATCAGTGAGTAAAAGAGGAAACATGCTCTGAGGTTGATCCTCTGAACAGGCGCTTCACCAGAACACTCAAACTGAGTTTCCTCTTCGTGGAGGAGTGAGTTTCTGCCCTCAGGTGACCGGCTCACATCCCGAACTTTCACCTCTTCCCCGCTCGATGACAAAGTTATTGTAAGAGACACAGCTCCACCCGTTAGATTAGCTGCTAGCATGCAGGGCTAACTCTCCGCACGTCCTCCTCAATGTGAAACACATGTAGCCAAACACAGCGTTAGCAGCACCGTTTGAACACACGCAGATAACGGCGGCTGTAGACCTCATGTTGAATTAAATACGTTTATTAGAAAAACCGAGTCGGGAGCGGTTAGCTAGCGGCTAGCGACAGTTAGCTGCCACCACCAGCTGATGTTATCGAGACCACTGACGTTGACGCAGCTACCGTTGGCATGCTAGCCCGAGCTTAGCTACCGCTCAGCTCGCTATGATAAAGGAAGGTTATTTACAAGCGGATTCGGTGTCTCCCACCTTTAAACAGGAAATCATACTCGTCGTCTCTGTTGCCCATGGTCAGATGTGATCACCTCGCCGAGGCTGCGCTGAGAGAAAACACTCCCCTGGCACAACCAGGCAGCTGCGCCAAGATGACAGGAGACAATACGCACATAGCGTAGGAAGAGCACGTGACTCCCCGGTACGTACGCTACGTAGCTGCAGGTACAGGAAGTTACAGAGGAATAACCCATAGTAATGATGTGACATGGCCATTGACATATCTGTATTTAGATGTTCATAATACTGTGTAAGAGATGAGTGTTTTGATTAATCCATGTCCAGGCTCAAGAGCTGAGAGAGCTGAATAAGTGACTTTCACATTTTCATCACACACTATATTCTCTACCTGTAATCCAACCCAGGCATAGCTCAGGACGCTGATAGGTTCTGCATTACTTTGGTTTGAATGTGTGCATGACTGTGTGTGGGAGCTGACCTTGCATCCTCAGTGAAACTGGCAAAAACACTGACATACAAGTGTTGCAGTAAGGAAAGCAGCTGTTAAAAGCCAGCTATCAGTAAAAGACATTTTACTTGAGAGTTTAACAAACATTTAGGCACCCCGATGAAATTATGTTGCAAAGAATCAGAATAGCTGCTCTACATCTCTACATGCTATGGAAAGAAAGTTCCCTTTTGCAAAATAAATGTACAAAGAATGTTTTTAATTCTTTATTTGCCTGCCCCCTGAACCCTTAGTAGGCACAAGCAGCTGTCTGTGTTGTCACAAACAACAGAAAGCTACTTACAATAAGTTAAATTTGCAGCTCTCTAAAATATCTGAACTCTATACTAAAGGTAATAAAGGTACAATTAAGACTGTATTAGTTTTAGTTAGGTGTAAACTCACAAGTGAGTTAATTTAGTCTGACAAGTCCATTTGCAGAACCAGCAGAGGGGGCCATCATCATGCTTAGCTCCCACTCGCTGAAGTCCTCTCACTTATTCACTAGCATATGAACAATTCACCTGTCCTGTTAAAATATGAAATACAGCAGTTAGCATCTAGACCATGATCCTGTAATGTTCTGCTTTTCTTTATCATTCGCATCCAGTACACCACCACTGCCCTGTGACATTCCAGCTGTATAAAGCAGCCGATGTTTTCCCACTGAAACAAGGAAGTGACATTATCACGTGATGTTATAAAATCTGACCCTTCCCTAATATTCTGAATATAGGTTGACAGTAAATGACAAGCTTATCTAATTTATAACTTTACTGTTCAGCCACAACACCTTTGAGTTTAGATCACAACACAAGTACAATCACAACCACACCTTGTATGACGTGATATTATACTTTTACCAGATAAAAATACCTTGCTGCAAATTAATTACTCAAAGGCTTTTGTTGACAGACTTAGTCACTGTATAAGCTAATAATGTAGCTATAATAATATGATAATAATATAGAACAGACCCAGTAGCTATATAAGCTTATAATATAAAATACACTCAGTAGCTATATTAGCTAATGATGTAAAATAGTCTCAGTAGGTATATAAGCTAATTAGTCTCAGTCACTATAAAAGCTAAAAAAATGGACTCATGTGAGCTAATAATATAAAATAGACTAATGTGTTATATAAGTAAATAATGTAAAATGGACTGTGTGGCTATAAAAGCTAATTAAACAGACTCAGGTGCTATATAATCTAGTGTTTTCTTTTTATATTCTGAACATTTATTTTCACTGCTCGGGTTCTTTTTTTAAATTATTTGCAATAGCAATAAGTACAAAGTTACACTCCTTTTTTACCTTTTTGTTGAAAATAATTACCTCCTAGAAATACTATTTATAGCATCTCTGCTGGGCTCTACATTTAGAAAAAACAATCCAAATGAAGACTTTCGAGAGTCGGTCTAAATTAAACACAAGTTTCTCTAGTCAGTTTGAGTTCAGTCTTAATGATTATAAAACTATAAAGTAAGAAAAAGATCAGAGACGCTCTACACCAGTCTTAGTTTCAGTGAGGCCTAAACAAACAGGTAATTTCCATCCTTCACGTCACAGGTACACTCACCTGTGGAAATTTCAAATAACATCCACCCACTTCACACACTGGCCAATCAGCATTCAGGCTGTCAAAGCAGCAGCAGGCACATAACCTCTTCCCTCTCAAGGTAACTTCAGTGAAGCAGAACCTGCTGAGGTGTTCATGGAAGAATCTACCAAACAGGTTGTTTTATAGCGAGCACCTTGACATGGCCAGGAGAGCAGGGCGACAGAGAGGCCAGCTGCCCACTTACTATGAGGGTTACCTGGAGAAGAGGTCATTCAAAGACAAGGTAACTTCTCAGAGATATGTTATTGTCAACTGCAGGAGAGTCAGCACAGGTTGTCTTTGAATGTAGCATGCAATAGCTGAATGGATTGTGAACAGACCCTTATTGTTATTGTTGATTTTTAAATTATTTCACATATAACTTTGTGTCTATTTTCTGTATTTTTTTTTTGTTGTAAAGCTTTTTTATTAATGTTTGTATGGCTTAATGTCGATTATTAAGTCTGCTTCTAGCAATTTTTACAATTATTTACATTGTCGCATAATAGTTAAAGTGACGGATGATGCAGCGATGAAAATAACTGAAAAATTCAAAACCTACTAAGTTACTTTTAAGCCTAAAGATTGTATGTTGATCCTGAAATGTAGACTGAAGTGTTTTGTCAAAGATAGTGTGGTTTAATGACCGTAAGGTCTGCATGTATCAGATTTTTCTAATCCATCTATCTTTTTTGATTTTGACATGTGATGTCTTCAGATTGTTTGTTTTATTCATTCAACATAAAAAAAAAACCTGATGCTTTGTATATCTTCATATGAGACAAAGAAAAGTATGAAAGCTGGGTATCCCAACAATGTGCAGTATAGTTGCCAGGGAAGTGCTTAACACTTCTGTCAACTTTCATACTTTTTATATGTCAGAGCCATTCATCACCTGTTGACAGACTGTGTGTGTGTGTGTGCGCGCGTGCCTGCCTGCCCTCATGTTGACTTTATCGGAGTAGTTTTACTCTTTCATTCACCCACACCAGCTTGTTCTCAATCTCAACATTACAATACTGTACAGTAACAGTGTAAGACATTTTTAATAGTTACTAACCACTGAACCAGTGCAGTGGTCTACACCGTGAACAGTCCTTGCTAAATGCCGGTGAAGTGTTGTTTTCTCTGGGCGTAGCAGCCTGTCATTATGTAGTTTCTTGTAAGTTATGTGGACTTTGTCTTCTGCAGACTATGAGCAACGTTTCCGCGTCTCTGACTGGTCTGACTGCTTTTTTGACCCCTCTGTGCCATGAGGATTTGAGTGAGCTTGAAACTGACAGAAAAGTAAAGAAACAAACTGGCAAGGCAGGCTTTACAAATAAGAAATCCTCTGGGTTGTTCTGCTGTCATCACTGATAAGACACTCTACACTTTCAGATGAAAGCTCATGAAATTACAGGGGGGAAGGATTTATCCAAATTTACACTTTAGGTGTGTATACTTAATGAAAGCAGGGCAGCTCAGTTACATCAGGGGATTTGTTTGTGACTAAATTGGGACCATCCTCTGTGCAAACTTACAGTAATAAATACTGGACTGGAAAGTTGTTGGATTACTTGTACCACACAGCGCTGGCGGCATTGTGCCCTGAGACAGACAATGGTGATCTTTAATTATGATTCATGCCAAATTCACACTTACACTCCCACAAATTAATCCAGTGATACAGTTATTAGCAACTCAGGATGAAGCATTAAATGTGGTGACAAACTCTTGACTCATCAAGTCAAATCCAAGAACAGATTCAGTGTCCAAACATTTGGCAATTATTTCTAAGATGTACTTATCAGATTGTCATGACAAAGAGGTGTAATTGATGCTGGCTATTTTACAGTTAAACCATACATTTTATTATAAATAAATGTAGGTAAACACAAATACAATCAAATATAAAGCCATTAAATTAGGAAATAATAATTTCAATGTAAAATGTAAACATAAATGCATATCTTTTCATGATTGCTTACTCTGTAAAATGTATGTTTTCATATTGTCACCTTCCTGCAAACATAAACACCAATATGTTTTTGAGAGGCTGATATCTGCCAATATTTATCAGCTGACCAATGTCCGTTTCGATAGTTTTCTGTGTCTGATGTGTTGTTTTTTTACTCAGTATGTTTCAATGTGTGTTTGTGCAGACGTCCCGGAACCTGTGGACCTGCCTGTGTGGAAACATGCTTTACTTCTTCAATGACAAGAGAGACGCTGATGTAAGTTATTTGGGTTAATCAATGAATAACAGGATTATGGTTTTTTCACTAGAAAATTCTATATTGAGCCAACCCTTGTGTGTGTGTTTCATCAGTACATAGAGAAACTGAATCTCAGTGGAACGATCTCAGTAAAAGACGACAGCAGCCAGGATCGTAACCTGGACGCAGCCAGACTCATCCTCATGTTGCCAGATGGAAATATCAAATTCACTGTGAGGGAACATTAAGGAAATATCCTGTTCATCACTTTTATTTTATTTCCTGTTTATTCACAGTTTGTTAATGTCTCTACAGGCTCCGAATACAGAGGCTCGTGAGTTGTGGAAGGGCTATATCCTCTCTGTGTCTCAGGTCTGTGATGCATAACATTTAATGAACATTTTCTCATCTTCAATCATGTTTAAATGGTTGAAGTTGGGTTGGATGAGACTTAAGATAGTTGGGTGCATTTGTATCACATGACTAACAAGAGACAAACTGTGTGTTTCCCTGCAGCTGTCAGTGCCCTCCTCCCTCAACCTGCTACCAGGTCAGTTCCACATGCTGCAGGAGGCAGTGGAGAAGGAGAAGGAGAGATTAAAATGTGTCGCTCCACCTGAGGTCACCTCCAATTACTACATCAACCTCGAAGTAGAGTTACCACCGTGAGTACACAGACTCCATGAGCTGATGTTAGTGGTGATTTTCTAATATAATAGCCATTTTAAAGAGCTGATACCAGGATTAAAACATGATTAAATTAATATCTGAAGAGAGAATTGTGAAATTGAAAAGGTCTTTATGGGTCTGACAATATTTGATAATTCCTTCCAATGTGCCTCTCCTAAATTCTGTAACTTACTTACTACAAAACATACAAAAGGTACACATAAAGTTAAAATGACAAAATATATAATGTAAGCATACTGGTAAAACATTAATAATTCACTTAAACTCTTATTTGCATTCTCATGAAAATGTGTGAGGTTTTTCCTGTGGTTTTTCCAAATATTCAATGAATCAATACATGACTTGAAT